CTTCTGACAAGCCAAGTCAGTGGAGAAGCCAGATGCATTTAACAACTGTGTTACTAACTTAACAACTGCGGTGATTTACTTACCATCTGTGGCAAGAAAGGTCGTAAAAGGGAGCAAAACTCACTTAACAAAATTTTGGGCTCTGTTGTGGTCGTAAGTTGAGGACTACCTGTATAGACAGACCTCACTCAGTTCATTAAGCCTTGTAGGCAGGAGCAACACAGAAAGAATTGGGAAAGGCCAGCCCTCTAGTGGATGAAAGGGGGTTTAGCAGTTTAAATTCTATGGTGGTGTAACTACAAAAAATCCATGTGAGCTCTTTTACTTTTGAATTTGATTTCTGAATGTTCTCATGTTCACGTACTCTGGAAGGTGCTTTGCTCTGTTGAGAATCTTCTGTCTTTCTTTCCATCAGGGTTCACATTGCTATGTGCGTTCTGGACACCACAGAACAAATGAGACAGAATACCTTTTTTTTTTTTTAGCAGTTAGGAGTTTTTCTGTGGGAGGGAGATATTTGAGAATGACCGTTACGACAGCCAGTTGCATTTGACGGGCATCAAAACTTCATGGGCTTTTTTGTATAAGCTGACATGCTCTTGAAGGTAGACCCTGTCCATGGCCTCTTATTCCCTCTCGTTTCTTCTGAGGTGGCTTTCAGGCAGGAAAGAGGATTCATTGTTCCACACCTGATGGAAATGGGGTGTTTCTCCTTTTATACACCTTCCTCTCCCTCCCTTCCACTTTATTCTTTTTTTCCCCCAAGGCAGAAAAAGAGAGACTCAGCAGGGAGGTGAAGGACCTCAAGCACAAGGTGAAGTTTCTTCAGGATCAATTGGTGCCAGTCACAAGGCAAAGAGAGTACCAGGAGAAGGAGATTCTCCGACTAAATAAGGTGGGTATACCTTATTAAATAATTGAGAGGATTTGTGCCTGGTTCCGCTTCTGCTTTTTTTTAGCTGTGTGAATCTTTTCCCCCAGATGATGGTCTTTCCTAGGCAGTAGAATCATTCTATATCTATTGCCATTGCTGCAAAGAACACGTGTTATGCCAGGAAAGCTTTCTTACAGTCCCATTGTCTTCTCCTCAGGCCCTAGAAGAGGCTCTGAACTTCCAAGCACCTCCTCATTCCCCCTCAGCCTTCAAAAATGATCCTAACCCAAGTCTCCGGCACCAGGAAGTGATGACCCAGAACGAGCTTCTGAAACAGCAAGTAGGCATCCAAAGTTTGTGATTCCTTTAAGAACCGTGGCAAAAAAAGAGGTCATAAAATCGGATGCGGCTCATTTAACAAGTGTCCTGTTTGGCAATGGAAATTCTGGTTCCAGTTGTGGTTATAAGTCAAGGACTCTATGTATTAATATTGTACTAGTTTCACTGATGGATCTCATTAATTGATTATTAGTATCAGAAATAATATTGTTAATTCTTTAAGTGCCATTTTGAAAAGTTGTGTGTGTTGTATCAGTTGGAAAGCATGTTGAAAACATTTTATCTTTAAAGGTTTTTTTTAGAATTAATGAGAGGCAGTTATTGTTGTATTCACAGCACTCCTATCCTATCCTACCCTACCCTCCCTACCCTACCCTACTTACCTCACCTCACCTCACCTCATTTCACCTCATCTTATCTTATCTCATCTCATCTCATCTCATCTCATCTCATCTTATCATCTTAGGAAAATAGACTAAAAATTGATTAAACCAGAACAGAAAGTGTTGTGTAAATTTAGGAAGGAATTTCCTTTGTCAGATGACCCCATGCTTTATAAAACTTATGGCACTGGTTTTGAATTTAAGTTTCTGTGTGTTGTGTTTTCCTGACATCAGTGCTGAAACAAGTAGAACATAAATTTGGGGGCGCAAGTGTCTGATCCTAGGATTTAAGTCCCTCTTTTTCTGTCAGGTGAAGATTTTTGAGGAGGATTTCCAGCGGGAACGGAGTGACAGGGAAAGGATGAATGAAGAAAAAGAGGAACTGAAGAAGCAGCTAGAAAAACTTCAGAAGCAGATGACCCTCACTAATAACCAGGTAGGAAACCAAAAGAATCATTCTGAGTTTGGAAGCTCTGGTGATCTAAATTTAATCTCTTCCATGGAATTTCTTGAAGATGGACTCTAAAGAAGAGATGAAATCATTCTAGATCATTGGCCCTGATTCATGCAAAACACTACCGAGTATTGGGTAGTCTGAACTTAATGCCTTGTGTTTTTGTTATTTTGTTACCAAAATCTCCAGGTAACCAAGACATGGTCTTCTGAGCAATTACCAGTTGTTTTTGGTCTCTTCCCCCATTTCTTGATCCTTTCAAGCATTCTGCCCTTCCCTCTTTATATTTTCACTTGCTCCCTATTCCCCACCTAATCCTAGCCACAATTTTTGGAAGTTTATGGATAGGCTTGCCTATCCACATCCTCTCCCAATATCCTTCTCCTGTGTAATAGCTGCCCCCTCATAGACAAATGCATCACACAAGTTATTATTGTCTGATTATATAGTTCCCTTCTGCCACTTGTTTTATTCCTAAAAAAATACAAAAAAACCCCATGCATGCTTAGGTAGCTTTTTAAAAAGAGATTTTATTGGAATTAAAGAAGACAGGTCAGTGAGTAGAGATAAAGGTGTTTAAATACTTAAGTTGTAAAGCACTTGAATCCATAAGACTTTGTAGTCACTGAATGATTCTTCTTTTGAGTGCCCAGTACAGTTTCATGTGTTCTTATACTGGTCTTGTCTCTTGGGTTACCATCCAACTTCACTTGCTCCCTATGAAAATATTCTCCCTATCTTCCAAAAGGTATAGAATAAAAATAATTCTGTCATTGAGTTAATGATCCACAATGATCAATGATCCAGAATCTAGTTTGGCTAAACTGTAGATTTATGTCTATTGGTCTGCTTGTTCTCAATACTAGAATGTAATGCATATGGAAGTCTATATTCTTTTTTTCCATTTGTGCTCTTTTTCACAACAGCTGCGAATTGTTAAAGAAGACTACCACAAAGAGAAGGAAGAAAAGGATAAGTTTAAGAAACTGCTTAAACAGCACAAGCAGGTATGGAATACTGTACTATGGAAATGCAAATTCCAGTTGGCTTACTACTATGGCTTCCCAATACTGAATATATGGCATAGTTGCTTGATTTTTGGCACTAGAAAGAAGATTGGGAGATTAACTTCAACATGTGGCTCAGATTTAATTTGTTTTTGTACATTTTGATAACTTCCTTATAGCCAATTCATGTTAGGAATGGTCTGTCAGTTCTGCATACTGCATTTTAGTAAAATCATATCTGAAGTCAGTCTAGGCTGATCTAAAGACACCTTCCCTAACTTGTCCACAGAAATGTGAACCTCAGTTTTCAGAATTGTCCAGTTTCTCTGGCCATTGCTAAAATTCTAGGATTTGAAGTCCACACATTTGGAGACTGTCCTGATTTAAAAAGTTCTTGAATGTTTGTTTTATATACTAAGGTTGTGCGATTTAAATTACAGCCAAGATCAGGTCTAATTTGTTTTTCTTGTCTTGTTTTTGTCCTATGGCATTGTGAGAGAACTCTTCCCCCCCCCCCCTCAATATCTGTCTGTCTATCATCTGTCAATAGAAGGGTGTGCATATTTATACGCTGCCTATTTTATTTTGTCTTCCTTATCCTAGGAATAGATTGCACAAGGGGAAATAATGTTTCTTTAGTTGCTTTTAAAAAGGGATAAAAAGCCACAGGCCAAGCCAAAACAATTAGGTTGATTAGGTTGATAAATCATTAACCTTTATAAACTAGGATTTCCACAAAGGTCCTTCATTTTCAACTTTCTGCTTTCTCTCTTGCAGCATTCGGGTGACAGACTGCATCCCGAACCACAGCCAGGACAAATTACCCCAATCTGCCCCATGTACCAGTTTCAGTGCTCTCCTCCAGTCCAACCACATGCTTATCATGGTTTTGAGGACTGGCAGCAGATCCGCTACCCACCCCCAGCGGTGGCCAATGAGCATCCTCCAATTCAGAACTATCATCGTTTCCCACCTGTGAGTTAACAAAATGGGAAATATCAGAGTAAAGAACTAGAAGCAATAAGAACAGCATGCAATTGCCAGCCATTTTCTTCTATCCAAAAATATAGAATTGGAATTCTCAGGTTCTCTGCCCAAATTTGTGTAGAGGAAACACAAGAATGTAAACTTTCTTATTCAACAACTGATGCTTCCTTCTATTTGCTGCTATTCCTTATGAAGAACTGTGAAGTTTCTAGTAGAAAATGTACAGCTGGGAAGTTCAAATTGTTATGAGATTGAAATGCTCCTTTTCTGGTTTAAAATGCTCCATCTTTAAGCATAAAGCAATTGTCTGAGGTACATACAGTAGTGGCCAAAATTGTGGAAACCTTTTGGGAAAAGTGTATTTTTGAGGTTTGATGGCTAATAACACTACTTTTTTTTTTTGAGTAGTACCATAAAATTATATATCGGTGGAAAGATAATTTAATCAAGAATGTAATGCAACATTGTTTGTTCAATTATCTGTACTGTATTCTATGAAAGGTTATAGCCAAATAACCAGAAAAAGGAAGCACAACTTGCTTAGGTTGATATCAGGTAGCTTTCCTTCATCTGATTGTAGCCAATGAGCATGAGTGTTTAGAGAGCCAATCAGGTGTCATCTTGTTTTGGCAATGAGCCAATCAGATCACAGTAGGATTCAGTTATTGATGTCATGCATTGAAGCTGAGAGGAGGACATTTGTCAGTGTGTTATGTGATCGCTGTCAAGTTGGTTGGGTTTTTTTTCTCTTTCATTTAGTGAGCTTGTAAAACGTAATAAAATTAAAGTAATGGTGCAAAGAGTTGACTGGTTGCCCAGAAAGCGATGTAAAATAGTATTATTAAGTGAACAAGGCTACAGTTGTAAAGAAATTAGAAGAAAAATTGGTGGAAACTTAACCAAAGGTGGCATTTCTACTATACCCTTTTCCCAAAAGGTTTCCACAATTTCAGCTACTACTGTATTTGTCCATTTTTGCTGACTGACAGCGAATTTCACAAAGGTGCTTTTTTCAAGAGGCAACTGGACTTTCTTATTTTTCTTTGAAAATGGTTGGCTTCGCATCCAAGAAGCTTCTTCAGCTCTGATTGTATGATGGGGAATGGAAGGATTTATATTCCTTGCAGACAACTGGCCATTTGCATTCTTTTAGAGAGTCATTGAGGCCACTTGTAGGTTTGTCTGTGTCCTCAGGGTCACCTGAATAGTGCAAATGTGTGTGGCTGCAGGATGTTTTCTGCCCAGGGTCTCTTCACTGTTGAACACAGGCGCAGGCTGTTGGGGATGAATCTGTCTTATTTGCATCTCAAACTGAAGCTCAAATGGTTCCTGTAGTCTGCAATTTTTCTGGAAATCCATCCATACTCCTGCACCATTTGAAGGGTGTTCATCCCAAAGCTCAGAGCTAAATGACTATGGAGATTCAACGACTCTCTAAAAGAATGCAAATGATCAGCTATCTGCAAGGAATATAAATCCTTCCATTCCCCACCATCCAGTCAGAGCTGAAGAAGCTTCTTGGATGAGAAGAGAAACGTCTCCAAAGAAAAAACAAGAAAATCCAGTTGCCTCCTGAAAAAGCACCTTTGGGACAACCATGACCTGGATGACTCAGAATCTCCATAGACAGCCAATTTCATATGTGAAATGAATGTTTTTCATGCTTGAAATCATGCTCAAAAGGACAGTGGGATGTTGTGCAGTGGGGGGGTTGAACTTGAAAAATTCAAATTGAAACGTATTACAGCTAGTTGTCAACTTATGGCCTGGAAGTAGAGTTGTAAGTCATGACAGTCATTAAATGGGTCACCACATGACTGTACCTGATTTTATGACTTTATAACTGGTCATTTTTATAGCAGTCGTTGAGAAAATGTTGTGGTCATAAAGCAAACCCATTTTAAACAATTGGCGCTTCCCCCCCCCCCCCCGGAAGCACCAGAAAGAAAACACCAGAAACCAGCAAAGTAAACACCAGAAACCAGTAAAATAAACACTAGAAATCAGTAAAGTAAACATCAGAAACCAGCAAAACCCTATGAAAATTATGATCATGACTGTGGGATGCTGAAAACAGCTGTAAACTTGAGCCAGTTGCTAAGCGCCAAAAATGTAATCATATAACCATGGGGAAGGGAAGGGGGTT